AGTCCAGTGTTGGGGCCATTGTGCGTTCTGAGTGCCCCCTACCAAGGGGGCTCATCTTCCAGCACTACATCAGACAACATCTGGTTGTGATCCACAGGATTTTCATTGGCTAATTTTCAGACATGGAACTCCAGACCTTTGTTCCTAACCTGTCTTAGTCTGCAAGCTCCACTGAAACCTGTCCCTATGGGTGATCCTGTTGGTATTTGAAATACCAGTGACATAGCTTCCAGCATCGTAGCAACATGCAAACCACCACAGTACAACCAACTGACAGACAGCTAGTAGTACGGGTGAACAGCTATTTCTTACAGACTCGTAGCCAATTAGGAACATTTCAGACATTTGCTCCAGAGAGTTTTGGATGTTCCAACCTATACACTCTTCCCTATCAAACATGTCCCCTTATGGTTCCTAATTGTCAGAGTTGGGGCCCAGGGAACTGACTATGAACATACCCAAGCAGGCTTCAGCTGCCACAGCCTTGGGCCACAGCAGGAAACTTAGAAGCACAGCCTACTGTGATTTCTCTCTCAGTCCCTGCTGGTTCACGAAGCAGTTGGTGCACTGGGTCTTTTCCTGTGGCCAATTTAAAGCAATTCACTGTCCATGGTAATTGTTTATGAGTGAGTTTGTGGGGTTGTTGTTATTGCTGCTGTTATTGCTCCTCTCCCCACCTACACCTCCACACCAGAATGGGGTTCAAGATCCAATCACATCCTTAGAAAACCAGTAACAGAGAGCCAGCCAGTTTATTAACCAGGCCCAGAGCTGTAGAAACATCAGCAATGGGGAGTGGCTGTCTGGACTTTCATTTCTTGGTGAGGTTCTGCCTTCCCCACCCCTAACCCCCCAAGATGTCAGACTGGATCTGCACCAGCCCTCCCAACCACAGGCAGAATCATCCCCACCCTATCACTGGCCTCAGGGAGGCATAACTGAGGCAAAATAGAGAAATGACAACATTGCTACATCTCTGTTATCTCCACAAACAGGCTGGAGGCAAATTCAGATGGACTAGAAATACAGGATGGACTCTCAGTGGACCCATTTATGAAGAGGTGGGCAGGTTTACCATGGAGACCCCCACAAAACCCCACCAAGAGAACCTCCCAGAGAACCACAGGTATTGCAAACCCATGTCAAGATGCAGATCCCTGAGTAAAAGGAAGAGGGCAGGAAGGTCTCACCTTAGGGTACAGGATAGGGTTAAATTTCAGCCCCACTGCATCATCACAGAAAGCCTGAGCAGAAAGAGAAACATACAGTTTAGGGACCACGTTTGTAGAATACATCTGGGCTCCTCTACCTACCAAGAGAAAGCAGCAAAGGAGGGCAAGACATGAAGGTTCAGAGTGTGGGTTCAAATCCTGACTCTCCTGCTCACTAATAGGTGCCCAGGAAAGTTGACTAATCTCACTGGGGTTTCCTAAGAAAATGAGGGGAGGGACAAGATGAAACCACAGACCTCTTTCCACTCTGACTCCAAGAAAATAGCATAAAGCTATCCAGCCCCAACTCCCACGTAAGGTATTCAGCATGATTCTGCCTGGCATTCCTGCTCCCAGAGGATGGGCTAACACAACCTGGCCAACCCCCTTTTTCCTGACTTGGTCTCTGGTTCCCAGTATCCCAAACCAGTAGTCTGGACCCTCCACCAGCTGACTGCTCCTTACACCAGGGGATGCTCTATTCTGGGCATCCTTCAGCCCAGCTCAGGCCTCTCCTTTACCATGAAGGCTCCCCTGGTCACCCTCCACCCACTCCCCACCCCCAGCCCTGTCTTTCCATTTCTCTTATCCCCTGAATTAACTGTGCGTGACTTGGGGACAGGGACCATGGGTTATGTATGCTCTCCCTCAGTAGCCTCAAGAGCAAGGATGAGATAGGGAGGGTACAGGGAAGACAACGTCTCTGCTAATACCCCTTCTCGTGTCCCTATCCATACAGATAAAGGCCAAAGAGAAAAGAGGCTGTCCCCTCCCCAAAGGCAGAGCCAACCCAGGACAAGCCTGCACTCCCACCGAGAGGCCAGCTGTGGGCTACAGGATGGGTCGGTTTTTACCTTTGCAATCTGAGGGACGCTGGGCAGCTTGCTGAGTCCAGCCAAGGGGATTCGCTCATGCACTGTCTTCACTTTGGACCTGCGTGGGTAGAGGAGGAAGGTGAGAATAGGGTGTCCATGAGAAATGAGATCAATGAGGAAGGCATCTGAGACCACACCAGACCACAAATTTTAGTGCACTTGGTTTCATGCCTGTCTAGAGTCAAATCTACCTCATTTTACCCAAGCATTCCATTGAGGAGGCGGGGTGTCATGGACTCTTACTTAGGCACCCCGGGGTGACACAAATGGTTAAGTCATCATCTACTAAGTGAGAGTCTGGCAGCTCAAACCCACCCCGAAGTGTCTCAGAAGACAAGCCTGGAGATATATTTCCAAAAAGTCATAGCCTTGACAACTCTGTGGACCAGTTCTGTGCACTTATGGGGTCACCAAGAGTCAAAGTCAACATGATAGCAACTAACAACAACTCAAGTACCCCAGGGAAGGAGAACACTTCAAGAACCTTCTGGAAAGTCTGTCTGCAGCTGAAATATTCTTGGGAAATGCAAATCGCTGCCTTCAACATCACCATTATTTTTTGGTTTGCTTGCAGGTTTTTTGTGTCCCCCCAAAGAATTGGGCACAGTTTTCCGGATATATTTGGGTTCTGACATATGATTAAACCGCTATGAAAAAGAAAAGCTAATATTTGAAAATCTGGATTCACTCATAATATAAATAGGATGAAAATGTGCTTTATAAAGGGATTCACCGTAAGTCTCTAAATTTAGCCTGTTCCCCTGATTCATTTAGCACATTACGAAAGTGTTGAATTTTACTGCTTTTCTGCATCTGCTGAGATAATCATGTGGTTTTTAATCTGTTAACCTGGTGGATTACATTTCTGTTAAGCCATCTTTTCATTCCATGGGGAAACCTCCACTTACTTCTGATGTATTATTTTTAATATCCTGTTCAATTGAATGTGTTAATATTGTATTGAGATTTTCATATCTATGATCAAGAGCAACAGTGGCCAATTTTTTTATTTTCTTATATGTCCTTTGACACATTCCAATATCAAAGTGCTATCCAGCCTCATAAAATTTCTGGATAGCTTCTTATTCTTTAAATAGTTTGAATAAGATAGGGAATATCTATTTCTTAAAAGTTTGCCAAAATGCACCTGTATAATCTATGGGCCTGCTGTGATTTTGGGGGGTTTTTATGAGGGTGGTGGGGATACTTTTGGCTACCAATTCAGTTCTTAAATGGTGAATGGTTAGGTCTTCTACTCATTGAGTTAATTTTGGTAATTTATGTTTTTCTATAAAATTATCCATTAAATGCATTGATTGATCTGAAGTTGTTTGTGGTATTCTCTTTGATGTCATCTTCACTTGTAGTGTGTCTCCTCCTTTATGGCTGTTTTTATTTGTATTGTTTCTTTTTCCTAATCAGCCTTAGCTGGAGGTTTATCAATTTTATTAGCCTCTTCAAATATATAGCTTTTGGTTTTGTTGATCATTTCTATTCTTTTTTAATTTTTGCTTTCTACTTCACTAGCTTGTTTTTGTCTTTTTAATTTCCCTCCTTCTGTTTTCTTTGGGGTTTTACTATTCTATTTTTGACTTCCTGAGTTTCATGCTTACTCATTTGATCTTTCTTTCATCTTTACAAACACACTTAGATTCAGCAATTCTCCCCCGAGTACCACTTTAACTACATCCCACACATTTTGATAGGTAGCATTTTCATTGCCACTTAGTGGTAAATATTTTGTCAGTTTTTTTTTGTGATTTCCTTGTTGGTCCATGACTTATTTAAAAGGGTTTTCCTTATTTTTTAAATTTTCCAAATGTATGAGATTTTTTCCTTCAGTCTTAATTGTTGAGTTCTAATTTAATTGTCTTACATTCAGAGAACATGATCTTCAAGGTTGACTTAATATATGGACTTTTTTTCTATGTGGGTTTGAAAAAAAAATGTGTTTTTCAACAAAGATAAACCCTTTTACATATACAATACTGCATTATCAGTGATAACAAATGTTAATCTACAAGTAAATAGATGGGTAGACAGGCTGAATGATCAGGTATGTGTAGGCAAAAGGAAATATACCCATGACCATATATAAAGTTGGCAGATGATATTTCTACATACGTATTTGTATGTGCAAACGTTTGCAGCAGTATATTGACAGAGAACTTTCAGAGGTTCAAGCCAGATTCAGAAGAGGACGTGGAACAAGGGATATCATAGCTGTTGTCAGATGGATCTTGGCTCAAGGCAAAGAATACCAGAAA